GGGGTGCGGGGGGGGATGCGGGGTCTGGCCGCCCTCCCTTCCCCTCCCGCTGCTCCCCTTGCACCGGGCCCGCTCCTCCACCCCCCTCCCGCCGCTCCCCCCGCCCGTTCACCTTGGGATGCGGGACCGGGGGGGCTCCTCCCGCACCTCCCCCGCCCTTGCGGGGCCTTTCCCGGGATTAACGCGCTCCTTCCAGAGCCCCCGGAGCATCGCGGCCGCTCCCTGCGGGCGGGGGGCTCGGGGGGCTCCTCTGTCGCCTTCCCCTCAGCGCGGCTCGGAGCCCCCCCGGCCTCCGGGCCCGCCGCATCCCGGGGCCGCTGCGGGAGGAGCCGCCGCCGCCTCTTTGTCTCTCCCGAGACGCCGCAGCGGCCCCGGGATGGGAACCGGGAATAGGAACGGGGATGGGAATGGAAATGAAGGGGGGGGGTCGGTCCTGGGAGCGGGGGGTGGGGGTTCGGCTCGGCCTGGGGGGGGATCCCGGGGGGCTCCCGGGGGATTCCCGGGATCGGTCACCTTCCCGCAGGGCCCCCGGGGGTCCCGCCCCGCGCCTGACCTTGGCTGGGTGCGGGGGCTGCGGGGTCGGGGTGCGGGGTCGGGGTGCGGGCCGGGCTGGCGCAGTGCGGGGCCGAGACACCCGGCAGGGGAAGGGGAATGGGAATGGGAATGGGAATGGGAATGGCAGGAAGCGGCGGTGAGGGGCACCTGGGGGGCGCCGGGGATGCGGAGAGAGGAGCAAGGGGACAGCGGGGCTGCGGGACGTGTCCTTGCGTGGTTGTGGCCTGTGCTGGGCAGGGCTCCCCTTCGTCAGGATGTCCCCTAAGCCAGGATGTCCCTTCCATGAACATCCCCTTGCTCAGACTGTCCCCTCCCTCAGCATCCCCGTCCCCAGGATGTCGCCTTCTCTGAGCATCCCCGTCCCCGGCCTGTCCCTGTCCCACTCCCCCCCGTCCCCGGCCCGTCCCCTCCTCTGAGCATCCCCGTCTCCAAGACGTCCCCGTCTCCAGGATGTCCCCGTCTCCACAACGTCCCTGTCCCCGTCCCCCCATCCCTAGCATGTCCCTGTCCCCGTCCCCCCGTCCCCGGCCTGTCCCCATCCCCAGGATGTCCCTGTCCCCGTCCCTGGCCTGTCCCTGCCCGCGGTGGCGCAGGGAGGGGACGCCACAGCCTCGCTGGGCCCCGGGCCCAGTGCGAGGAGCGGGATCTGTGCCCGGAGCCATCCCAAAACCCGGGGCCGATCCCTGGGGATGCTGTGGCTGCGCTCGGGTCTCCCTGAGCATCCCGGGATCCATCCGGGAATGGTGACGGAGAACCCAAACCCGGCTGAGCCTTCCCTAAAGAACCGCGGGGAGGGAGGGAGGGGGTGCCCAGCCCGGCTTGGGGGTGTCCGGTGGGGCGGGACCCCCGGCAGGGAGAGGGAGAGGCCGAGAGGGCGGGAAGGGGCTGGGGATGCTGGATGTTTGTGGGGATGCTGGATGTTTGTGGGGATGCTGGATGTTTGTGGGGATGCTGGATGTTTGTGGGGATGCTCGATGTTGTGGGGATGCTGGATATGGGAATGCTCGGGCTGGGAATGCTCGATGTGGGAATTCCAGGCGCACACGCAGCCGGGCCTCGGGATGGCTCCCACCTCCCTCTCGGGCCGTGGCACTCCCAGGTGCCAGTCAGGAGCCCCAGGTGCCCAATTTGGGGTGACCACAGGGTCAGACCCGCTCCGGGCACGGCTCGGGTTGGGGTCCCGGCCGTTTTGGGGGTCCGGAGCCCCTCCCGGGCAGCGCGCAGGGAGCGGGGCTGGCAGGGATGAGGAAATTCCATCCGCCCGCGGCTCCCCGGGGAGCCCGGCCCTGGCAGCGCTGGCACCGCCGCTGTCCCCTCCCCTCCCCAGCCCTGCCGGCCCCTTTGGGGTCCCCTCCGGCCCATCCCGGCTCGGGATGGTGGCTCTGGGGTCACTGGGATGCTGTGGGGGGTTGGTGTTGCTGCTTCCAGCCCTTCCCGATCCCCTCTGGGTGTGCGGGGCTGGGTGGGACGCCCTGGCCCTGTCCCCTCCCTCGGCTCCGCTCCTGTCCCTCGGTGCCAGCCGGGCCCCGGAGTGTCCCCAAGGTGGGACGGGCACTGTCCTTGTCCCTGCTGCTCATCCCCGGCGCTGTGTCCCTGCAGCCGTGGCCAGGGCGCTGCTTTTGGGGTCCCGGCGGGGAGATTGTGGGACTGGATTGGTTCTCACCGCTGGTTCCATCCCATCATAGTGTCCCCATCCCACTGTGACCATCCCACCCCATCCCACTGTGACCATCCCACTGTGTCATCCCCATTCCACCACAGTGTCCCTATCCCACTGTGACCATTCCAACCCAAAGCAGTGTCCCCATCCCAGTATCCCATCCCTGTATCCCATTATCCCATCCCAGTTTCTCCCCCACTGAGGAGGGTCCAGGGGTGCAGGAGTGAATCCCGAGGTCCCCACCCCCAGAGGACTCAGCCCCACTGTCCCCCCCCAGGTGGCCACGGGACCCCCTAAGAGCCCTGGGAGGGTCCCGGAGTTCTTCCTACAGGGAGGCAGATCCCAAAATTGTGTGGGGTTGGGGAGATGGGTCTGCACCCCATAGGGCTGTGCACCCCAAAATCCTGGGATCTGCACCCCGATATCCTGGGGCTCTGCATCCCAAAACATTTCTGCTCCCCAACACCCCGGGGCGAGTTCGACACCCCGAAACCCCAAAGAGTTCTGAACCCCAAAGAGTTTCGCACTTTGACATCCCATAGCTCTGCACCCCAAAGGCTTCTGAACCCCACAATTCCTGTTCCCCTACACCCCAAAGCACTTTACACCCCGATATCCCAGGGCTCTGCACCCCAAAACCTCCTCTCCCCGACACCCCGGGACCCTTCACCCCACAGCCCTGGGGCTCCCCTGTCCTTTGGGGTTTTGGGGTCCCGTTCCCGCCGCAGCCCCGGCCCCGTCTCCGTTTCTGCCGCTTTTGCCCCAAATCTGCGCGGATTCGGCGCGGCCGTGCCCTACTTGTGGGAATTATGGGATTAGGGGAATCTTCCTGCCGGGGGATCGGCAGCAGGCGCGGGGCCCCGTGCGGGGGACAGGAGGGGGACAGGGGACACAGGGGACGGCCCTGACCCCCTCTGGGGTGTGCCACACTCCGGGATGAGCCCCCCGCACCTGCAGGAGCCCACCCGGGGGTCCCCAACCCCATGGAGGGTGGGCACAGGGTCCTGCTGGTGACTGGGTGCTGTCACCACCCCTGGGGACGAACTCGGGGTCCTGCGTGTCCCCGACCCCATGGAGGGTGGCAGAGGGTCCTGCTGGCACCCAGGTGTTGTCACCACCCCTGGGGATGGTGTTGCATGTCCCCAACGCCATGGAGGGTGACCAGAGGGTCCCAGTGGCACCCAGGCCATATCTCCCACCTCACCAATCCCCCCCAAACTCCCAATTTCTGTTTTCCGACCCCAAATCCCTCCGGGATTTCTCTCCGTTCCCGTTATTCCCGCTGGTTTCCATGGCACCCCCCGTTCCCCGGGAATGAGCTCCGGGTGTCACAGCCCGGGTCCCCTTTGTCACCCCCAGCCGTGCCCGTGTGACACCCCAGTGTCCCCCCAGCAGCACAGGACACCCCAAAGCTGGCGCTGGTGACCGTCCCCTCCCCAGCTCGGCTCCGGGGACTCCGCTGGGCCGGGAATTTGGGACGTGTGGTGGCCTCGGCACCTCCGCCCAGCCGGTGCCACCGCGTGGTGACAGCGGCGTGGTGACGTAGCACTGTGGCTGTCCTGTGCCAGCACCCAGGGGTGGCAGGGGAGTGGTGACATGTCCGTGTGATTGTCCTGTGCCAGCACCCAGGGGTGGCAGGGGAGTGGTGACATGTCTGTGTGATTGTCCTGTGTCAGCACCCAGGGGTGGCAGTGTTTGGTGCCATGTGCATGTGGCACCTGAGGGTGACAGTGTTGTGATGCCATGTCCGTGTGGCACCCAGGGGTGACAGTGTTATGGTGACATGTCCGTGTGGTTGTCCTGTGCCAGGACCCAGAGGTGACAGAGTCATGGTGCCATGTCCATGTGGCACCAAGGGTGACAATGTTTTGATGAAATGTGCATGTGACATCCAGAGGCGACAGAGTCGTGGTGCCATGTCTGTGTGGCACTAGAGGTGACAGGGTTACAGTGCCGTGTCTGTGTGACACCAATGTTCTGCTGCCACGTCCGTGTGGCACCCAGAGGTGACAGTGTTATGGTGACGTGTCCCTGTGTTTGTCCTGTGCCAGGACCCAGAGGTGACAGTGTCGTGGTGCCATGTCCGTGTGGCACTCAGAGGTGACAATGTCCTGGTGTCATGTCTGTGTGGCACTCAGAGGTGACAATGTCCTGGTGCCATGTCTCTGCTGCTCCCGTGCCGAGGGTGTCACCCATACACGCACGGATGTCCCCGCGGTGCCACTTTGCTCTCACGGTGCCATCGAGGCCCTGCCGCGCTGTCCCTGAGCCGTGTCCCCGCTGTCCCTGAGCCGTGTCCCTGCTGTCCCTGAGCCGTGTCCCCGCTGTCCCCAGGCCCCCCCAGGACATCAGCCTGGAGGAGTTCGATGACGAGGACCTGTCGGAGATCACGGACGATTGCGGCATCGGCCTCAACTACGACTCGGACCACTACGAGAAGGTGCGGGAGCCTGGTGGCCCTTGGGGACACCGTGGGGACACCGGGCTGTGACACAACTCACCTGCAGCGCTGCCACCGCCGTGCTGGCTCTGCTGGCAAAGCGGGTGACCCGGGAGCTCCCTTGTCCCCTCTTGGGGGGGGTGTTGGGGACACTGCCACCCCCTCGGTGGCAGGGACGGTGTCCCCAGCGCTGTCCCCGTGTCCCTGAGCCGGTGTCACCCGCAGGACTGCCTGGTGCTGGAGCGCGGGGAGCAGCCGCACCCCGTGTGCACCTTCCAGGACGACTTCCAGGAGTTCGAGATGATCGACGACAACGACGACGACGAGGAAGAGGAGGAGGAGGAGGAGGAAGGCAACGAGCTGGAGGCGCCGCCGTCCCCTTCGGCCTCGCCCATTCCCTCGCCAGCCCTGGAGGAGACGCAGAAGCACCGGCCCACGACCCTGAACCTGACAGCCCCGGGCACACAGGTGAGGCGGGCGTGGCTGCAGGTGACGTGTCCCTGTGGCGTGGTGTCCCCTTCCCCCGGGTCACTGTCCCCTTCCCCCTGGAATCACTGTCCTTTCCCGCCAGTGTCATTGTCCCTTCCCCCTTTGAGTCTGTGTCACTTCCCCCCCAGTGTCACTGTTCCTTCACCCCTGGTGTCACTGTCCCCTTCCCCCTTTGGGTCTGTGTCCCCTTCCCCCCCCCGGGTCACTGTCCCTTCTCCCCCGGGGTCTGTGTCCCTTGTCCCCATCCCCACCCCCGTGTCCCCCCTTTCCCGCACTGGGGGCTCCCCGGGGGTGACCCCCTCGGGCCGTGTGGCCGCAGGGATGTCCCGGTGTCGCTGTGTGGCCGCAGGGATGTCCCCCCGGGCCGTGTGGCCGCAGGGATGTCCCCGTGTCGCTGTGTGGCCGCAGGGATGTCCCCCCGGGCCGTGTGGCCGCAGGGATGTCCCGGTGTCGCTGTGTGGCCGCAGGGATGTCCCCCCGGGCCGTGTGGCCGCAGGGATGTCCCCGTGTCGCTGTGTGGCCGCAGGGATGTCCCCGTGTCGCCGCGCACGCGCCGCCGCAGTGTGTGGGATGCTCAGCGGCTGCAGCCGCCGGCGTTGCCGGGGGAACCGCGGGCCCTCGGGAATTTCGGGGGGGCCCCCCCCGCTTTTCCCGGGGGGGCACCGCGCTCTGCTGGGCTGGGGGGGGCTCTGGGAGGTGGCGGTCACCGCGAGGGGGACAAAGGGACAAAGCCCAGGGGTCTGGGCGGGCCGGGACCCCGCGCTGCTCCGTCATCCCTTGGAGGAGGGAGGGGTGGAGCCCCTGGATCCGCTTGGATCTGCCCCATGGGGGGTCCTGGGAGGAGGTGACATCCTGGTCCTGTGTCCCTGTGTCCCTGTCCCCCCCTGCAGCCATCCCTGTGTGCCTTAGAACCCATCCTTGTGCCCCCCAGAACTGATCCCCGTGTCCCCCAGAATCCATCTCTGTGTGTCCCCTAGAACTCATCCCTTCCATTCCCAATCCCCCATTCCCATCCCGGTCCCCTCGGTGCCCCAATCCCTGTCAGGGCCGCCCCTGGTTGGTGCTGGTGGCTCCGGCCGCGCTCCCTAATCCCTCCCTAATCCTCCTCCCGCCGGGATCCGCCGGGATTAGCGCTGCCCGCGCTTCCCGGCGGGACAATCCGCAGCTGCCGCCGCCACATTCCCAAAAAATCCCGGGGGCTCCCGAACATTCCCGGGACTCCCGAACGTTCCCGGGGGCTCCGGGGGTGGGCCGGGGGTCCCTCTGCGGGGTGGGGCCGTGCTCCTGGGGTCTCACACGGGTGCCGTGCCGTGCCGTGCCGTGCCAGGCTCCCGGAGCTCGTCTGGCCGGGCAGGGGATCCAGGGATGGATGTGGATCCGTGCCCTAATCCGGATAAACCCCGCGCATGTGGCACGGGGGCTGCCAGACCCCTCCGAGCCCACCCCCGGTGTCCCCCCGGAGTCCCCAGACACCCCCCAGGGTCGGGGGTCCCCCTCTGAACCCCCCTCCCCTCTGTGCTCTCCCCCCAGGATTCCCTGAACAACAACGGCGGCTTCGCTCCCGCCGCGCCCCGGCCCAGCTGGCAGGACGCGCTCCTCCACTCCTCCTCCTCCTCCTCTTCCTCACACACCGGTGAGCGGCAGCGGGAGGGACAGCGCGGGGGGACGGTGACACTGGGACGGTGACACAGACAGTGACACTGGGACAGTGACACAGACAGTGACACTGGGACAGCGGGGTGTGACAGTGGCACTGACAGCGGGCTGTGCGGGTGTGGCAGTGACACTGTGACAGTGGGGCTGTGCCAACGCGGGTGTGACAGTGACACTGACAGCGGGGTGTGACAGCTGAGCTGTGCCAATGGGCTGTGCCGACGCGAGTGTGACACCGGGGTGTGACAGTGACACTGAGACAGCGGGGTGTGGCAGTGGGGTGTGACAATGGACTGAGACAGCGGGATGTGACAGTGACACTGTGACACTCGGGCTGTGGCAGTGGGGTGTGACAGTGACACTGTGCCACTCGGGGTGTCCCCGCGGGCTCACCCCGGCCCCGTGTCGCCCTCCCCGCAGGACACTCGTCCCCCCACGCCTGCATCCTGGACGGACCCTGCCTGGAGAGCCCGCCGGGCCCCGGGGGGGCCCCCCCCTCGCTGCCGCCCTCCCCCCTGGACTCGCAAGGCAACAGCCCCGAGTCCCTGGCACATGGTAACCCATCGCCCCCGAGAGCCGCGCCCGATTTTAACATGAACCTCATCTCCGCTGCGCTCCGAGCTCCGCTCTCCCCGCCGCGCCCCCGCCAGCCGCCCCCGCCTCACCCCTGTCTCTCTCCAACAGGGCCCGCCGCTCCCCCCGGCGCCCCCGACGCCGCCCCCCCGCCCCAGGCCGCCCCCCAGGCCCCCACGCAGCCCCAGGGCGGCGCCAGCCCGGGGTCCCCCCGCCCGCAGCCGCAGCCGCGGCCGCAGCCCCGGCCGGAGCGGGACGGGGCTCCCGCGGAGCCGCTCAGCTCCGACGGGGAGGGTGCCCGGTCCGGCCGGGCCGCCAGCGTGCGCGGCCACCCCTCGGGCTCCTCGGAGACCACCTCGCCCTCCTCGGACCCGGGCATCGAGGCCGACCTCACGAGCCGCACGGCCAAGCCCTTCCTGCCCGGCGGGCGGCGAGGGGACGAGCTGAGCTCGCCCGGCTCTGACTCGGACGTGGACGGGGAGCTCGAGGCGGCTTTCGCCGGCGGGCGCCTGGTCAGCAACATGATCTCATCCATCTCGGAGACCGAGCTGGACCTGAGCAGCGACAGCAGCAGCGGCCGCTCGTCGCACCTCACCAACTCCATCGAGGAGGCCAGCTCGCCCGGCTCCGAGGGCGAGCTGGAGCCCGAGCTGGAGGCGCCCGGCCTGCTGGGCATCAAGGACTCGCTGCTGCTGGACAAGGGCAAGGAGGACGAGGAGGAGCCGGCCGAGAGGGGCCCGCCGGAGCGCGGCGTGGTCAGGAGGGAGAGCCTGGCCGAGCTGAAGATGGACGCCTACTACGACAGCCTGGACCCGGCCGACGGCCCCGCGCCCGAGGGCCAGACCGACGTGTCCAGCGCCAGCCCCCCGGACCTGAAGATCGACCCCGACCACAGCCTGGAGAGCATCCGCCGCTCCTTCTACCTGCCCGTGGGGCCCAAGCTGATGCCCGAGGCGGACGAGGAGGACAACAGCGAGTACGACTCGGACTCGGAGTCGGAGCCCGACCTGAGCGAGGACTCGGACTCGCCGTGGCTGCTCAGCAACCTGGTGAACAAGATGATCTCGGAGGGCTCGTACCCCATCAAGTGCCCGGACGAGTGTTTCCAGAACAGCCACTCGCTGTGCGACACCATCTCGCCCGCCTCCGACCTGGAGCCCGAGATCCTGAGCGAGGCGCTGGACGAGGAGCCGGGCCCGCGGGACTCGCCGGTGGCGCTGGGGGACGCGGCGGCGGTGCCAGCGCGGTGCCCGCGCGGTGCCATCGAGCTGGTGGACATGGAGACGCTGCGCTGCTCCCTGGCCGAGGCCGAGCACGCGGCCGCCGAGCCGCCACCGGAGCCGCCGGCCGAGGAGCCGGGGCCTTTCCTGTTCCTCAGCAACCCCACCAACGACACCATCGCGCCCGTGTGCCCCGGCCGCCCCGTCGCCCTCGGCCGCCTGGACGCCTCCGAGGTCTTGGCCACCTTGGGTTGCCGCCCGGTGGCCCCGCCGCGGGTGTCCCCCGGCACCGAGCCCGCTGTCACCGGTGGCGGCCCCGAGCGCTGGGACCTGGACTCGGGCGTGCTGGAGGCCGACTCCATGATCGACGACGTCCGGTTAGCGCCCGACGCCGACCCCGCCGCGCTGGACGTGTCCACGGCCAAGACCAACCGCGGCTTCGCCATGGCCCTGGAGGAGGCCGAGCCGCCCTTGGTGGCCCCGTGCCACCGGGGCAGCCCGGCCGGGGAGGGGCCGCTGGCACCGGAGCCGCCGGCGCTGGACGAGTCGCTGGCCTACGACTCGGTCAAGTACACGCTGGTGGTGGACGAGCACACGCAGCTGGAGCTGGTGAGCCTGCGGCGCTGCACGTCCGTGCTCAGCGACGACAGCGACATCCTGAGGGCCTGCGACGACGAGGTGGCCTTCGGCGACGGGCTGGTGGCCCCCGACGCGCGCAGCTCCTCCGAGGACTCGTCCCCCGAGGCCGACCTGCAGTTCTCCAAGAAGTTCCTCAATGTCTTCGTCAACAGCACCTCGCGCTCCTCCAGTAAGTGGCGGTGCCGTGTCGTGACGTGTCGTGACGTGTCGTGACGTGTCGTGACGTGTCGTGACGTGTCGTGACGTGTCACGGTGTCCTGGGCTGCTCTGGGTGACCTTGGCATGCCGGCTGCCCTTCGTGTCCAGCCCCAGCCATTCCTGCTGTGGCATGTCACGATATGTCACGGGATGTCACGATATGTCACGGGATGTCACGATATGTCGTGCCATGCTGTCCTGGCTCTTCTCACACGGGCTGTTGTGTCCCAGCCATCCTGGCCGTGGCACCATTCCCACGTGCCATGTGGTGTCACGATATGTCACGACATGTCTGGGATGTCACGGCATGTCTGGGATGTCACGGCATGTCGTGACATGTCGTGGGAGATGGGGCAGGCTCACAGTGACCACAAGGCTGTGCTGGGCAGGGTCCAGGTGGGACCCCCCGGAGGGTTCTGACCCCATGAGTGACCCTCAGGGACAGGGGCAGGATGTCCCCCAGCTGTCCCCTGTGTCCCCTGTCCCCGTGGGGGTGTCCCCAGCTGTCCCCTGTGTCCCCTGTCCCCGTGGGGGTGTCCCCAGCTGTCCCCTGTGTCCCCTGCCATGGCTGTCCCCACAGGCACAGAGTCCTTCGGGCTCTTCTCCTGCATGGTGAACGGCGAGGAGCGGGAGCAGACCCACCGCGCTGTCTTCAGGTGAGGCCACCCCAGGTGACACCCACGGGCCCCCCAGGGCCACCCCAGCGCCCCCTGCCCACCCTGGTGCCCCCGGGGCGATCCAGATTCAGTCCCTGGGCTCTGGGGGTGTCGTGTCCCCAGGGCAGGCACCCCATGGGTGCCACGGGGGGGGTTTGGGGTGACCACGACATCGGGGGGTGAGGAGGTGATGAGGGGCACAGGGGTGGGGGTTGGGTTTTGGGGGTGACCAGGGGGTGTGGGGGTCACTGTCCTTTCTTCCCCTGGGTCCCCCCAGCCCCCAGTTGGCTTTGGGGCTGACCAGAAGGTGAAGGATGTGGGGGTGTGGGTTTGGGGGAGTGACCAGGAGACGAGGGCAGTGGATTTGGGGCTGACCAGAAGGTCAGGAATGTGGCTTTGGGATCACCAGGAGCTCAGGGAGGTGACTTTGGGGGTGACCAGGAGCTCAGGGAGGTGACTTTGGGGGTGCTGATGACCTGATGGGCACTGAGCCGTGTGTCTGCACCCCATCCCATTATCCCATTATCCCATCCCATTATCCCATTACCCCATCCCATTATCCCACCCCATCCCAGGTTCATCCCACGCCACGAGGACGAGCTGGAGCTGGACGTGGACGATCCCATCCTGGTGGAGCTGGAGGAGGACGATTACTGGTACCGGGGTTACAACATGAGGACGGGCGAGCGCGGCATCTTCCCCGCCTTCTACGCCCACGAGGTGGTGGGACACGCCCGGGACGCCATCGGTGCGAGCCCAGGGACCCCCGGGCATCCGGGGAGGGGTCCGGGGGCTTTGGGGTGCTCTGAGAAACGAGCTTTGATCTTCCTGTGATTGTGTGATTTTGTGATTCAGGGATTGATTCTGTGATTGTGGATTGTGTGGTTCTGTGATTCTCTCTGTGATTGATTCTGTGACTGATTCTGTAATTCCGTGATTCTGTGATTGTGACTGATTTGTGATTCTGTGATTGATTTTATGATTGTGTGATTGATTCTGTGATTCTGTGATTGATTCTGTGATTGTGTGATTATTTGATTTTGTGATTCTTTGATTTTGCGATTGATTTCACGATTCTGTGATTCTGTGTGATTGTGTGATTCTTTCATTCTGATTCTGTGATTGATTCCGTGATTCCCTGATTGTGATCCGTGATTTCTGACGCTCTCCCTGCCCTTTCCCGGCAGGTCTGAAGAGGAACCCGTGCTGGGTGGAGCGCTTTAACGTGCAGTTCCTGGGCTCGGTGGAGGTCCCGTACCACCAGGGCAATGGGATCCTGTGCGCGGCCATGCAGAAGGTGAGGAGGGGGCGGGGCGGGGGTCCCGGGGGGCCCTGGGACCCCCCTGACACCGCTGGACCCCCCCAGATCGCCACCACCAGGAAGCTGACGGTGCACCTGCGGCCCCCGGCCAGCTGTGACCTGGAGGTGACACTGCAGGGCATCAAACTCATCCTGACCGTCACCGAGTACAGCCCCGAGCACGAGGTGAGCGGGGCCGGGGTCTGGGGGGCACCGGGAGGGGTCTGGGGGTGACCAGGATATGATGAGGGGTGCAGGGATCTGGGTTTGGGGGTCAAAAAGGAGTTTTGGGGGTGACCAGGAGTGTGGTGGGTGCAGGAATCTGGGTTTGGGGGGCAAGGAGTAAGCGGGTGACCACAGGAGCAGACAGGAGAAGATTTTGGGGGTGACCAGGATATGATGAGGGGTGCAGGGATCTGGGTTTGGGGGGCAAAAAGGAGATTTGGGGGTGACCAGGAGAGGAGGGGTGCGAGGGTCTGGATTTAGGGGGTGAGGAAGGGGTGGATGGTAGAGGGCTCTGGATTTGGGGGTGACCAGGAGGGGAGATGAACATGGGGTTGGGTTGTGGGGCTGATGAGGGGCTCAGGGCTCTGGATTTGGGGGTGACCAGGAGGTGCCTGGTGCAGATTCGGGGCTGTGGGTTGGGGGGCTGCTGCTGAGGGGGGACACAGATTTTGGGGGGCTCTGACCCAGAGGCTCCTCTCTGCCCTGCCCTGCCGCAGTTCGAGCGCTGCAGCCACTTCTTCCAGATGAAGAACATCTCCTTCTGTGGGTGCCACCCCCGGAACAGCTGGTGAGCCCCCCGGGCACCCCGAGACACCCCCACCAAATTCAGGGGCACCCCAAGGGACCCCCACCATCCATGGGAGCCCCAAGGGACCCCCACCCTGCCAGGGACACCCCCGGAGCCCCCTGCCCGCTCCTGGTCGCCCCTGGCGTGGCTGTCCCGGGGCTCTGGGGGTGGTCTCGGGGCAGGTTTTGGGGTGCCCCCCTGAGCCCGTGCCCCCCTCCCCAAACCCATTTGCAGCTATTTCGGGTTCATCACCAAGCACCCGGTGCTGAGCCGCTTCGCCTGCCACGTGTTCGTGTCCCAGGAGTCCATGAGACACGTGGCCGAGTGTGTCGGGTACGGGACACGGCGACA